CTCCTGCTTGTCTGGTACATATGAATGCTGTTCTTATTTAATGATTATTTACCTGGAAGATATTTTAATGTAGAGCTGCATTATACATTTTTTCCTTGTTCACTCATACCAGCCTTTTCTGGATCAATAAAAACCTTACAGAATGATCTTGATCTTCAGTTATTAAAATTGAAAGCGCCAGACTCACTGTAAGTTTAAAAAAATATACTAATTTATCTTAAAATACCAGATAGCCAGAAGTTTCTTCCTGTTAAACGGGAGTTTTTCCTTCTCACTGTTGCCAAAGTGCTTACTCATAGGGGGTCATATAATTGTTGGGTTTTTATTTGTACAGTAGATCCTACAATAATAGAAACAATATAAAGTGCCTTGAGGCAACTGTTGTGATTTGGTGCTATATAATATTGAATTGAAATTCTCCAAACAAGATGTGCTGCACGGGCACACCCCCATCTGCTTACCAGTGTGGAGGTTTAAAAAAAAAAAAGCCACATTCCCAAATCCACAGGGGCCACCTGTGGCTCTGTAGATGGTTCTCCTGTCCCAGTATCTTTGGGCCAGACACTGAAACCCAGATTCCGTGTGGTGCAAGTGTGTATTAGAAAGCACTTAAGACACTGGGTAAAGTGGTGAAGGGTTTTAGTAAAAATCCCTGTACATATGAACTCTGACACAATAGAGAAGGAAAATTGTGTTGGAAACCCAACGCCTGAGCTTTTGGCTCAAATGATATATGAAATAAAACCATTTAAATCCAATCAGTGCTCTTTGGCTCTGTATGGTCTCATCACTCAAAAGTAATAGCAAGACCCAGAGTGAGTATTCATAGCTACCAGTGACCGTTTGGCTAACAGATCTGCAAACAATTACGAAGGAATGGGTAGGATACACTGATATTCAGAACAGCAGATTTTATTTTTTTAAGCCAAGTGTTTAGTCTTCGACCCACCAGTTTCAGTGTCTTTGGTGCCACGGCAACCTAGTTTCCAATAATTTGATGTCAGTCTTAGTTTATTGCACATGTTCAGGTTTATGTCAGCCTGATTTTAGACAACAGGATTCTCCAAGGTGCTGCATTTGAGTTGAGATCAGTGACAGTTTAAGTGAGCATGCTTACAGACCGAATGCAAGCTAGCCGTTTATTACATCGTAAAGCACATGCGGTGCTTCAGTTTCATCAACACAAAGAGAACTGGTGTGAAATAAAGTACAGAAACATCAAAAATACATTTTGCATCCAAGATGCCATCGTTGCACCAGCAGTGGGTTCAAGATGCCCCCCACGTACAAGTTGTGCCAGCATACTGAGGACAGTTCAGTCGAGACGCTCCTTAGATGATGTACTTGAAGCTGAATGTGCTGTCGCAAGAGAGCCGCTTGCCTTTGCATCTGCCGCACAAATCCTGTCTGTGGGGTCGTTTGGGATCGACGTGTCGTTGTGTTACTGCACAGGAACAGCGTGCTTTGTTGCAAGTCTGAGGAGAGAGGAAGCGTTAAGTGGAGACTAACAAGCCATTCAAAATCCACACAGACCGATTAGGACTTACATGACACGTGATGTCCTCGACACGGTATGGGTTGTATTCCTTTTGGCATTTTCTACAAAACTGTTTGAAGTAAACCTGGAAGATAAGCAGAGGACTCAGATACTTTCTAGGCAGCAGGTCTCTGGAAGTCAGTCATTGTTGCACTGAGGACTTCCTATGGTGGACTCTTGATAAAGCACATTTCATCTTTGGAGGACCTTAAACAGAGCTGCTCACCTTGTTGGTGCCCTGAACACACCACACATAGGCACTCTCCCATCGCAGATTGCAGTCTCTGCAGTGATAATATCCATATTTCTGTTCCAGAAACTGAAGGACAAAAACCAAAATTAGTTCAATGAAATCATTAGAAGGAATCCATCCCAAAATAAACCATCCACATATGTTTGAGAGGAGAACAAGCCGAGTAGCCATGATCATGACACTTGCAAAGGGGGGCTAAACAAATATACTTTTATACTTTGAGTTAATTGTTAATTAGCAAATTAACTGAAACAGATTCAACTTTATAGGTAGCACACTGACAAAATTAGAAGCATATTTTCTGGATGATGTTCTAAACAGAAATTTGCCAAGTTTAGTTTTGTTTGAAGACGGGTCTCTGATAGATGCTGCCCTCAAGTCTGGTTAAACCAAGGCTAAAGAGCTGCTCAACTTGGGAACAACTTTAAGGTCGTTAAGGCTTGGGCAATACCTAAACAGTATCCAGGAAGTGGAACAAATTAAAGACTAGTTTAAAAAGGACAGTGAGTATTTTAGTGCCATTTTCGCACTTCTTTGGGACAATACTACAGCTTCCAAACTGGACGGTCAGTTCTGAAAGAAAAAGAAATGCGCCAACCCATGTCCTTGAATGGGTCATTTAATATATAAGGCAATTTCCAAGCAGTTGTGGCGCAAACGTTCTTCGAAAAACTGCCAAATATGAACCTCCCGGTGCGTGATTAACTCACCTGGAACCGCACACGCGCTTTGCCCTTCGAGTCCTCCGCAGTTGGCTGCGCATCCTCACTCCTGGCCAGCTGTTTGGACTTGAGCTTTTTGCTCTGCTCTGCTCGCTTTGCGGTCTTTTCATCCCCACCAGCCTGGCTGTCTTCGTCCTTCCCCTCGGTGTCCTCGGAGGGCTCGGGCGGCTCACCCGGGGGCTCACCGGTCAGCACAGTCTCACTGGAGGTTTCCTTATTGTTGTTATTTTCATCGACCAGGAAGGAGGTGACGCTCCTGTATGCTATCGGGGAGTAGACGGCGAGGGTGCGGGGGTAACGCACACCGCCCGTCGCTTTGGGGCTGTCGGGCGTCGCTGGCTCCTGTTTCCTTTTGCGCTGGAAGTCCCGCTTCATGGCCAGAAGGGTGCGCGGGCCAATGGAGCACTGCACCGAAGCGTCCTTCTTCGGGTTGACCTGCACTGCCACATCCTTGGTGTTCGCCTTCCTGAGCCTCGGGGTGAGTTTGGGGTTGATTTGGGACAAGATGGACTTCAGCTGTGCGCGCTGGTGGTTGTTGAAGGCGTCAGAAGAGTCTCCATAGTGGGAGAAGTAACTTTTGTATTTCCACCCCGCGTCTTTAGGCCGGGGGTATCTGCCCATGTAAGGATTGTAAGAAGAATAGAAGTAGGCGTCCACTGGCTCGTCACCATATGTTGCCATGTTTGTTCAACCGGCCGAGGTTTTGCTGTAACTAGTTAAATAGAGTGGAGCTCTCCATTAGACCTAATTAAGATCAGGTGTAGGACGTCTCATTACAAGAAAGGAGGGGAAAGTAGACACGTGACAGAGGTGTACCTGTTTTGTGTTTATACGTCTTTAATTGGCACAATCTTTACAGTACAATTAAGATCAGACTGTAGAGCACAGGTAAGCTAAAGTTTTGGCACAGGCTTGTTGGGAAATCTGCACATGAATCAGTCTGATATGTTTTTAAAATGGCTTTTAGTCTCTCTTACACACACACACACACACACACACACGCACACACACACTTAAAGCATTGAAACGAAACACTGTCCTGCTTCACTAATGCAACTTTGAAGTCATGTTTCTTTTGCTTTTTTTATATCACGAAATGAGACATCAGTGGTTAGGATGAACGAGTTAAGCTCAGGACATAAAGCACCTTTTTAGCAATCATGTTAACATTTTACAGGCATTTCTTTTATGAATAACAGCGATGAAATGATAAATCCATCTGAACGCCTTAATCTGCTTCCCTGCGTCATAGTAGGTATGGAAGGTCATAACTGCCAAAATTAAAAAAATAAAGAAATTAGTCAATAAATGACTCAGTAATTAGATTATATGCTTTATCAGCGGTTGAAGTTTCTAGATTTATATAACAACATAGTGTAGTGGTTAACACATTCACCTTACATGTGCATGATCACCATTTTGAGACTAGGAGAACGCACCCCTACCCCCACATTTTTCCAAGGCGAGGTCACACGCTATTGGATTCCCGGTGCTATTCCAAAGCCTGGGAGGGTTGAGGGAGGGTGACCCATTTAGAAAAGGGAAAGCTTATGTGTGAAGGCTAGCTACGCAGGTACTTTTTAAAACAAGATTTTTCCAAGTTTGTCTTTAAAAAATGTCTCCTTACACATGAAAATGCAAAACCAATCTCGAGCGCAGTCAAGAGCATGCTAAAGCAACAGGTGGTGATATAACCCCAACCTTCAAAAAATGTTGGCCAATCAAAAGCTCATAAACAATAACACGGCACAGAGTCTGCGAGGAGCTAAAGGTGCACATCCCTGCTAATCTTAAGCAAGAAATGAATAAAACACTCGAACCAATTTAAATCATACACATGTATCAAAGATGGACGTAACCTTCGGGTCTAACAATAAAGCCAATGCAGAAGTGCCAAAATATCTGTATCCTACTTGAAGACCACCAGATGGCAATAGCTGTGGTTTTGAAAAGTCATTTAATTCTATAGAGTTCTGTGGCGAAATGATTTTCTGATTTTCCTGCTGAGTTTATCGTCTCAATCACTCATTTCGGGTCATGCTAAAAATAAAAACCAAGGTCTGTTTTATAAGCAAAGGAGAATGGAAGGATATCTGTGGTATGTAGCTACAAATCAGTGAGCGTTAGCCAATGAGCATCCATTTTCACAGTCAGACCGTTATCTCTTCATATGTGGATTTTTGCAACTAAGCTGGCGATTGCAGAAACCACATCCCCAGGCTTCAAAATTGGACTTCAGAAACCAACAAGTGATGTCACGGTAGCTAGATCCATCTTTTATACTGTCTGCTTGGAGCGAACCTCACATGGTCTTTAAAGGACCAGTATTAGATGAAGGTTTTATTACCTTTGCATTTGCTTCATTCTTCAGTCCTAGGAGTTCCCACTTGGCTAAAAATACAGTCAAATAATAGATAAATAATAAAAACAATCATTAAATAAATGTAAAATAAAAGTCAAAATGAATGAAAGTAATAAAGTGGGATAACTATAATACCAAGTGACATGTTGAAAACAATAAAAACAAGTGTTTATATTATAGCTTTATTCATTTCTGTGTTTAAGTAATAATTTAATGTCTATTAATTGTGTTACTGAGTCATATATATATATATATATGTTTTTTCGTGTTTTTTTTTCTTTTTTCAATTTGGCAGTTTTGGTCCTCCATAGCGGAGCAGCGATTTTTGTTTTTTCAATTATTATTTTTATGCAGATTAAACTGGAGTTGGATCAGGAGGACAAGGATCCAGCATGATAGTGTTTGGGTCGCTCACTGTCACCGCACCATATGACGGTTCAAAGTCCTCGTCTTCAAACCTTTGATAATTTATGTCCGTGTCCTCACCGTCCACCATGGGATCTGGTTTATGCAGGACCTCCCTCCTGTACATCCTGTAGGCCAGGATGAAAATCCCAGCCTCGGTTGCTTGGAACAGGGCGTAGAGCAGGGGAAACATGTACATCCCCCCCATCAGCTGAGGAGGGAAGGCCAGCTTCAGGATAGCCGTACACAGCTGCACATTCTGGCAGCCCGTCTCCAGAGACACAGCCCTGCGACTGTTGGGGGGCAAGTCAAAAAGCACTGCCAGCCCGTAACCTGCAGCGTAACCGCACAGAGGCATCAGCACAGCCACCACGTAGACAGAAGGCGGGATGGTGGAGAGCAGCTCTGGCCCCAGCATTGCTCCAGTAAGGATGAAGAGTAACACCAGGGTGAACAACAAAGACCACAGAGAAGCCTGCAAACACAAGAATTCAGCGTGAGAATTTTTTTTTTTTAAATATGGCGGCAACTTTCTACAAGACATGATTTTTAAAACCAAAAAAATTCGTTTTTTTTCTTCATTTGAACCATAAAGGCAATATCCAATCTGCGCAACCAATAATAACTAATAACATCACATTTTTATGTTGCTTTATTTATTTATTGTAAACTCCTTTTTAAAAAAATTGTGTACATATAATACAAGTTTAAGATAGACTGCTTTCTTTGCACTAAGGGGACAGCATATAATTTCGTTGTGCTTGTGGTGCCCAACATAACTGTGTACTCTAACTGATGAGGCCCTCATGTGTCGCTTTTATCAGAAAGCACAGGGAGGAGCTCTTCCTGATATAGTGCCTCTGATGTCACTCTTCCAGCGGTCAGCCACCCCACTAGTAATAACTGAGACCAAGAAATACGCAATGCGCTTTTGGGCTAAGGCCCCTAACCAAAAGTACTTCGGCTGGAACGAAATGATCGAACGGATGTATAAAAGTTAATTGTTGTCAGATTACCTTTAAAACAATATCCGCCACTCGCGTGTAGCGGTACCTAAGCATAACTCCAAACCCAATGGGGATGAGGGTGCTGCAAAGTGTCAGTATGATGGCCCCAAAGGGCAGGAGGTTAACCACAGGGGTGTTGATCCAGGCTCGACTGTAGATCCAGAGGCAGAGCGGCATCAAAACGAGCGCCAGCAGAGTGGAGGATATGGTCATGATGATGCTGGGAGGAGTAGAGAAAAGAAGGAGTATGGTGGACGTGCAGCACGTACGGTGTTGGATCGTTTGAGGAAAATGTAGCAATGGCTTAAAAAAAAAGAAGCATGCAGAACTTAAAAGTTATTCTTAAGTGTTGTTATTTCAGTGCGTTAATGTCAGAATTTGCGCACAAAACACTGTTAACACCAAAACCCACTTCAAGTCATGCTTAGGTGAGTAAGGGGATCTACCTTAGATTCATCTCTCCGTGTACAAGCAGAGACATAATATTTGACAAGTTTCCTCCAGGACAGCAGCCACAGAGGAGCACGGCCATCGCCGCCACATCATCCAAAGAAAAGGCTAGCGCCAAAAGAAAAGCCACTAGTGGCATGATAACAAACTGACACACCAGAGCCAGGAGCACCCCGATGGGTCGGCGGATATGTTCTCCGAGCTGGCTGACCTCCACCGTGCAGCCCAGCCCCAACATAGTGAAGCAAAGTACCAGTCCGACGAACACATTGATGCCGTGACTGAGCGGGGAGTCCCAGAAGGCAGGCATCAGGTAAGAGGTTTCCGTCGGGAGAACGGCCATAAACTCGGCTACAGTCCTGTAACCGCTGCCTTGGAGAAACACGGCACGACCGACCGCTCCTAATCCCTTCATGACACCCTCCTCCGGAGAATCCACTTGCTTTAAAGTAATAAAGTCCACCGAACCAGCACTTTGCGCACTTCCACCCGGCAGACTGGAGTTCTCCATGGCGCAAAAGGAGATCAGAAAATCTCAACCGTCGCCTTGTGCCTGTATTGGCTCGTGCGTAAACGATTCCTCTAGTGACGCACTGTCACTAATAAGAAACTGCGGAAGGTCCAGTAGTCGGGGTATGTGATGGTGCCATGGCACTGATAGTCTAATGAGTCTGAGTGGTGCCACGGATTGTTTCTGGGCTAAACTGCTGGAGGAAAGACAGCACAGGGTCGTAAGTTTAAGCAAGAGTGGCTGGACCAATTAATAACTACCACAATTGCCATTTACACTGAGCTCTGCGCTGTATAGGAAGAAAGACCCCGCAAACTTCAATCTTATTATTACACTCTGACAGTTTGCCATCCTGAAAAATGAGACTCTGTTGAGTGGTTGCTGTTTCGTCTCTCGCGTGTTCTGCAGAAGGATGGAAAAGATCCTTGACATTTATGGGAAATGTAAGTTGCGCTAAGTCAGTTGCTTGTTGAGGTTGAGTAAGCAGAGACTGTGTTGATCTTTAAATTATTGCAGCAAACTGTGAAAATCCGCCCGCCCTTTTCTTTCCCCCCCGTTTTTTTGGTCATGCTGGTCGCATTACGCACGAGTCCTCACCTCAAACGTTACGTTGCGCATAAGTCTTTTGGTTCAGTAGATTATTATTATTAAAATCAGACTTCAGCGTTTGAGCTCAAACAAGAACTTGGAAACTCTGATTAGTGTTTTATAAATACCAACCTGAAAGCATATATATCACATTGAATTTGTATATATATTGGTCAGATCAGCTGGAATTGAAATAATTCAGTTGCTCCCAAAAGTACTCCTGGTGGAGTCTGATATATTTCTTAAGTGATTAAAGCGGGCTCAAGCTCACTCCCACATATATTTTCATTCTTGAATTCAAATAAGGTAGACATGTGTGATTCATAAACATTAAAAGACATTTTGCTGTGGCGCATTGAGCCTAAAATGCATGATGCCACGGAGCAAACCACACAGTTCCCACACCTCAACCTACAGGACTGAAAAGATTCCCTGGGTGCCAGAAAGCACAGGACACACCCAGAGGTCCTTGGTCTTTAATGGGCAGAGCAGTTACACAATATTACAGCTAATAGGATGAATATTGTTGCTGAATCTGCTTTTTATAAACCTGAAGCCTATATTTATTATTAAATTTCAATTCCTGTAATACATAATATTTTTTATGTTGAAATCTTTTATCCATCAATATGACAAAGAAAATCTTTTAACAGAAATCCTAAATATGAGTGAGGTAAAACTTGTACATGGTAAATGGTTTGATCGTTGCTTATTTTAAACCTTTGTTGTGTAGACGGCATAGGCAGCACCGGTGAAATATTGTGGTCTGCTGCTGTGACAGTGTGTTCTCCACAATAATGGTTTATCATATTCAGCATCACTCATATGAACTGTCTTTGTTCTGTGCGTCTGCAGCACACAGGAAATGATCCTGAGTGAATCTAGCACACGAAGATGAGAGTCTGGAAAAAATAAATTCACTCTTCGGAGCTGAAGAGGGGACAGAACAGTCGGTGACTCAGGCTTTCAATCTCCTCCCCTTCCCAGAGAAACACACCATGTCCCCTCCTCAGCAGCAGCGGGTGACTCCAGGTACGTAACGCTGTCTCTGTGCAGAATACATAATGTGTCCCCATCAGCAGCTGGACATAGTGTATGAGACTAAAACAAAAGTACAGTACAAAATGAATAAATACTGTAATTGATTACAGCTGAAAAGAGCAAGGAACAGTGCAAGCAAATTGTTTTGTTGTTGTTGTTTGCTTTTTTCTTTTAGAAAATATAAATGTTATAGTAAAGTGAGAGCACACAGAGACAGATTTACATACCCAGAAATAATTTTGACACAATATATGAGTGTACTCTATTAAAACCTATTAAAACCATGGAGGAAAAAAAAGAGCCTGTATGAATGTGGCAAGTTGTATAAAATGCTTTGAGTGCTCAGATATTACAGTGCTATATAAGATGTGTTTTTTATGGCAGTTTTAAGTAAAAATTGAAATAAATAACATAAAAATATTCCCTTATGTACTTTCTTCTGGGTCTTGGTGCACACGCTCAGTTCATCCTCTGAAAAACATTACCTGATCTTAATTTCGGGCCCCTTAGTACTGACCACAGTGAACCATCTTCAGATGGCTGCTCCCCGCTGTATAACATGCCATATTGCAGAAGTGGTTTCTTGAACATGATGATGAGTTCACTGCCTCCGCAGTCACTTTATTTATTTTTTAGATACATTAAAGTGTCTGCTCAGTGTACATGTGGTTTAAAAAACTGCCCTTAAATGTGTACAAACTCCACAGTGTGCAGCTTGTACACTTTGTGTTTACAAACAGTTTTATAGTTCCAAATTAGCAAAACTGCAAACAAGAAAAAGGAAAAGCTACATGTAAGAATACTTTTGAGCTTTTATTTGAAATGTGACTTTACACAGGGAAACCGAATGTCATGTTTGTGGATATAAAAAAAATTTCAATAACAAAACCTGTCACACAAAAGGTGTGGTATGTCTTTTTGCAACATTCGTCCTACAGCTTCCCACTGAATCTGAGCTTTAACAGAGGCACCTCTCTCTTTAATAAATAGTTTCATTTACAGAGCGAGTAATTAGATATAAATACAAAGGCGCGTTTAAAACATTTTTTTAAAGCAATTATAAATGTGTTGATTCTATTTAAAAAAAACAAACAGGCAACAAGCAAATCAATCAAGCAATCAGATGCAAAATTGCAAACAATGTTGGCGAAACCAAAAACTGGCACCAAGAAAAAAGAAAACATACAAACAAAATGATGTTCAAACTTTAAATTATAGGCACTAGTTTAAGAACACCCACCACATCAATCACCGGTACAGCTTCCCGAACACTGGCATGCCTTTTGATTCATTCTCATAGCATAAGAGGTAAAAGCCAATCAAAACCTAAAATGTATTCAAGACAGATTTTCATCATATTCCTTTTTTTCATGGTATGAATGATACACACTGATACATCTCTTATGGGGATTTGATAAACAATATCAAAGTTTCCTTGTTTTCATTGGCTGAATGGGTGAACAGGGACAAAACAGCTCTTTCAGGCTATTTTTCTCAACATTTTTTTTAAAAATCAGACATCAGTAAAAACTCAGATCTAATGTTAACCTGGGGCCAGTTTCACAAAGAGATCTGAAACTCCAGTGTGCGAGGGTCTAAAATGTGCTCTTTGGCTGCCATATTTCTGCAACAGAGTCAATTAGCAGCTCAGGTCCAGTGATAAAAGTCCCAAATGAAAGGGCTTTTAACTTTAAGTGCTTACTTGAAGTGCTGTGTTTCTATTAAAAGCACAATTCAGTAGCTCAGAGTGGATCCCAAATTGAAGCTTGGTCTTGCAGCGGAAAGAGGACTATTATGAACAATTATAAATGAAATGCCTGCTATTGTCTGCAGGTAAGATAAATAAAAGCCCGGGTCACCAATGTGTAATCTAGTCTGAATTTCACAAAAAGAACCACTGACTTTTATTTAAAGGTGCTTTTTGTAGTTATCTGCATAATCTAATTATAACTTTCACCAGCAGGGGGCAGCACATTCATGTTTCTGTTCCATTTTTAAACTTGATAGTTCTCTTTACCCTTCCCTATTTATACAAGAGGCTTCCCTTTTTCCCGAAACACCAGAGCAAATAAGCACGTGTTCCTCCTAATGATTTAGGAAACGTTACGATGAGTCACTGCACCATCTTGTGGTGCAAAATTGTACTGCACAAAAGTACAGAATGGCCCAGATTGAGCTCTTAAACATAATTCAAAGGCAATGTGGACATAAAGTTAGAACGATTGCTTCTTCTTCTTCTGACAGCTTTGGTTCATTTTTATTGTTTTGAACCACTAATAAAAACAAAGATTTACAAAAAAGTACCTTTAGGTCAAAAGCGTCACCATTCTCCGGGGCTAACTTCAAATTATGTATTCACTCAGCGACACTGCTGATAAAATGATGTTCAACCAGAATTAGTCGTTGCTTCTTGTTTAAAAATAGTCCAGGACAAACTGGTTTATGTCGCCAAGCAGAAAGCTGCTGGGCTGGGGGGAAAAATTGCAGTTCACTGAGTTGCAACTCACTAGAGACTCCGGTTTTAAAATAACCAGCAAGTTTTTTTTTATTAGTCAGTTTTATTGTTATCTTTAATTTTATTTAACGTGTTTTGGTATTTTTTGAAATTTTATTTATGTATTTTTTTTTTTTTTTGCCGTCTTGGAAAGCACTTTGGTGAACCATGTGTTTTGGTTGTTTCTTTTTGTTTTGGTTTGTTTACGCATAAAGTTGCACAAACAGCTACAGCTTAGTTTTAGTCTTCCCCCCCACCCCCCAATTTAACTCGCCAATTTAAACTAAATTAAAATATGGGTGTTGAATCCTGACACATGCACGTGGAGCAGACTGCACATTTGCTAATCAGAGTCATTGAACTGAACCTACCTGCTGTTTGTAGCTTTAGTGCATTTTAAAATTCTAGTGTTGAATTACTCTGTTCCTCCTCTCTGAAGCTGTACGAATGCTAGCGTTAGCTGTCAGCTTACCAAAAATCCATCTTTTACACACGGTTTTAGAACTTAGTCATCTTTGTGAGACTGGCCCCTGTTCTTGAACAGACCACTTTAAGCACTTAAATGGAAAAGTATAATCTTGGCAAAACTGTGGTACGAGTCAGAACTGAGGCTTTGGCTGGGATGTCTTTAATCACCCGGTTTGACACTTTAAAAACAAAAACAAACAAACAAAAAAAAGGCTTTGGAAAGTTAGCTTTGCAGTTGAGGTTCAAAACGTACATTTTAAACAACTGAAATTTTAAAACAAAATACTGATATGGATGTTTGGATGTACACTTCTTAAATAATTTTGAATAAATAATTTTCCAAAACAAACTTGTGCATACATTCTGGCTGATTTTACAAAGAGGAAAGATTCTTAAATGTCAAACCCACACAAGAGGTGCTTTCACTGTTTCAAGACATCAACAATTCTCTAACGTTACGGGACAGTTCACCTGCACAGCATCATCATAGAGATCGCTCACCGACATCTGTTAAACACAGAGCATAAAGAGAGAAATGCGTGGAAACATTTCAACCTGAGGGAAGTGAAAGAAGAACAGGGGGGAGGAGGACGAGGAGGAGGGGGAGGGAGGAAAGCTGGGCATGTGGAGATATGGACAGTCTCACGGATGACTGCAGTTGAACCAAAGGCAGGTGACGTGTCCTCTGATGGGGACGCTGGAGTCGGGCTGGTTTCTTTGGCATCTTCTGGGCTGTCTGCACTACATGCCTGACCCCTCCAGAGCCAGTCCCCACAGAGAGACACAATGAGAGGTCCTCTTTGACACAATGTGGACTCTGTCCTCTCCCTTTTTCTTTTTTAAACTCTTAATCAAATGTATTTTTGGGGGCTTGGTCTTTCTGAACTATAAGAGTTATCTAGGTAGATAAAGTGCCATGTTAAAATATTTCCTCCTTTTATTGATAGTTTTGACTGGAGAGCCCCCTGGTGGCCCGCCTTAGTAACAACCTTCTCTCCAGTTCTCACCGCCGCCGCTGTACGTCCGCGGACCAGGAAGGGACCTGAAAAGGCAAGCAAGGAAAATGCATTTCTGTAACAGCCAACAATAATAATAAAAATAAAGAGATACAAGACAGAAAACAATTCAAAATAAATATCACAGACACATTAAAGCACTTAAAATAGATAATAAACAAAACAACTGAAAGACATCAGCCAGACTCTGATGGAATCGCATAAAAATATGTTTTAAGGACTGATATAAAGTTGGTCATTAATTCTGCGAGCCTTGCACTCCCAGCCAGGCTGTTCCAAAGTGAATGTCTGCATATTAAACCAATAACAATGAACAGAAAGTGTGATTGTTAGCGCTGTCGCTCTCCAGCAGGAAGGTCCTGGGTTCGAGTCCGCCAGCGTTTGCCTGGAGGTACTTGTGCTTCCTCCCACAGGCAAAGAGATGCAGCTTTGGCCACAAGTGTGACTCTAGTGTGTGTGAGTGTACACCCCTCCTGTCCTATGACAGTGTACCCTCAAACCTGAACTGCATAAGCGGTTAAGAAAATGGATGGATTAACCTTTCCTGGGTGTTAGTTTCAAAGTTAGAAGGTTCTTATTTGGAGGAAGCAAGACTGGCCAACCTTTATAAGAGTGGAATCAATCTGGGAATGGAACCACCACAAAGCAACACACAGAATGCAGAAAGTGAATTATAGAAATTAAAAGACAGGCGATAACAGTAAAACTGCACGAATTTGTAAGAACAGTGGAATCAAAAGACATTAAAAGAGCTAGTGGTGGATGGAGATTCTACACGCACTCACCACTAGCTGGAGCTGCGGCTACACCAGCATTTCTCTCTCTCTTTCTCTGTCAAAGTAAAATAACCAGCCAGCTATTTAAACCTGGAAGGGAAGAATGCTGCTGCTGCTGCTACACTCAGGAAATACAATAAGACTGTCTGTGCAACATTATGTGACAGCAACTAAACATTTCAGCAACGTTTAATTTACGATTTGATTGTTGAGGAATGTAATTACAGACAGTGTTTAACATTGTCTGTTAGTCTGTTGTGCTCAACTTTGACTGTTGTCTTGATATTAGACTGGTCAATTTTTAGTAAATTACCAGCCAGAAACATCACTGGTGTACACATAAGAGCGGAAAAAAAAAAATATATATATATATAAGCACAATACGCCCGCCTGGTAACACTTTATAACCTGCTGCATGACTAAGAGTGTAATTCCCCTTTAATTAGATGGAACTTCAATGTATTTTATCTGAAATTACAGTGTAATCATGTTTACCTAGCGATACTTAAAGGTAGGCACACTGGAATAAAGGAGGTTAAATTAAAGTATAATTATTTCTTGCTTGCTACCTCTTTATTCTGCTGCAGCTTATTTCAAGTATTTGTAGGTAAATATAGTTACATTGTAATTTAAAATGAATTCCATTGAAATTCCATTTAATTACAGGGGAATTACGCCCTTATTATAAAGTGTTACCGTCCTCTTTAATCAGACAGAGAAGTGCACAATAAGGACAACGTGTCTGTACATACCTGCGCACGGGTTGGGCCAGTTTGCTGCGAGGCAGAGGGATTCCACCGCCTCCTCCTCCTCCTCCTGTAGAAGCACTAGGTCGGGGCAGGCCACTGCGTGGAGGAGCTAGGGAGCGGGTGGGGGTGGAGGTGGCAGAATTGGGGGTAGATGTGGCCTTTACCGGTTGCCGCAAGGCTAGTGGTGATGGGGTGGCAGGAGTCCGTAGTTTACTGGGAGATGGGACTGGAGACGGGCAGAAAAGTCAGGTGTAAGTGGATTATGATGGACTGCTTTCATACACAGTATCTATATAATGAAGTAATGATCAAAACCACGATGGTGTGAGGTTAATTTAAATATGAAGCCGGTATAAAAAATCTGAGACAGTATGCAAGCTTTTACTAACAACATCCATTCCAAATTCACAAACTTCTACATAAGTTCAAAAACATAAATAAATGAACAGAAAGGTTAACTAGCACAGCTGCCGGCTATGATTTTTGATGCATTGACAGAATGAGATGATACAAACACACAGAGCAAACTCTACTACTAAAAACCAACAACACAACATCGATGCGGCCACGGCGTGGAAACCACAATCACGATATTTAAAAAGGTGGAGGCTCTCAGTGAATACTCACTGAAATCACCTTCTTCTCCAAAGCAACAGGAGAGTGGGACTAGACAAAGACGAAGACAACAGAGACAGGCCTTATTTCAGAGCAGGGAGGGAGGAACGTGCTGACCATGCAGTGTAATGTGGCGTTTTGCTCAAAATGGGCCTTTAGGGCTGACGCCACACATGATAAAGGCAATGAGTCATCATATTTGACAGAAATCTATTCAGTTTCCTCTAATTTTTAATTATCTATAAAGAAAAATCCTTTGACTAAATAAAACCCATCTAAATATACAGTAAGAAAAATTATTTAAATTGCAACACCTGACGTAGGAGAGGATTTTCTGCTGGGATAACTAAAACCTCTTCGGGGCCACCTTTAACGATGTTATGTATTTGTTAATGACAACCAAATGTTTTGTTTTAATTGCTTCCTTAGTAATTGCTCTTCTTATTCCTGCTATTTAGTGAAAGCTGCTGGCATCTCTGGGAGGAAGTGCACAACAAAGCGAGATTAATGGGTTAGTGAGCTCTGTCATGAAGTTGGCTCTCTCTTTACCTGGCTAGGTCACCATGGTAACTTAGGCTAGGCACATAACCTGGTCTGGAGTAGGTTTGTGTTCAGATCTTCTCTTTAAAAATCATCAGGATGGATTTTCATTGATTTTTTTCACTTAAAGCAAGTACAATACAGATTCTCTAGACTTATATTTCATACAGGCAAGTTGATAGGCTTACTAATATCACAAAAGGAAGCTGTGCAGTAAAGTTACAGCTCGACAAACTGTGTACTGCATGCATTCAGTTGGTCATGGAGAAAATGTAATATTGTATTTATGCTTGGTCCCAATCTGCTGCCAAATCGTTTTGTACACTGCTGAGGTTGTAGCTAACGGAGAACACATTAGAAAACTCATCGGCCTGTTTGTTGGCAATTTATCACTGAGAATAGTCAATCAATAACATTTATTTCACTTTGACCTGCCCACAATCTACGGGGATTTTATGAGGCTACAGGACAGCGCTATGCCCAGACATGCAGAGTAATAATGTGTATCATGTTTAAAGTTTCAGGGCTCTAACGTGCAGCACTCATGGCAACATTTAGCAGTAAAATAGATATGTATTGACTTATGTATTCACAAGATTTCACAGGATTTTCAGGAACGTTGTTTCTTTTTCTTATTATATTTTGGGGTTTTTAGATTTTATAGATCTGCATCCAAGAGTGAAAAGATGCTTCAATCCCTTTTTATGCTGAGCCTGAAGCAGAACGCCTGGATTAGCAGAGAAAGTATATAACCTCCATCGTGATACCCGCCACCTCTGACTGAGATTTTACGTTGTGTCGAGCCAGCTATCGCAAAGAAAGCCTGGCTATGTTGGACTTGCATCGTAGGAAAGCCATCAGGTGTCTTGTATGTGTGGCATCAAACAGGTAAAGAGCAAGAGAGAAGAAAACTAAACAGTACACGCTCTCCAGTCTTTGGATTTTTGCCAGTGTCACCTGTGCGTCCATTTATACAAAACAAGTATTTTGAACATCAGCGGCAACTTTCTAACAGCTATCAAGATGACAAATATTATAAATGCACAACGTTTATTTACAACTATTTTTATTATGATCTAACTGTCGAATCATAAAAAAACATAACTGAAGTCTAATTAACTATCAGTTTACTATTTATTAGCAATGGCTATTCTAAGGTGTTACCTACCTGAGACGACACTGACCCTGTCATGCATGATTCTTTACAGAAAGAAAGTATTACCACAACCAAAAGAAAATACACATTCACACATTTCTGACAAGGTTGCAAGATCATCCTCATCTCTGACAACAAACGTACTCCATGGTTACCTCTTATTAAACGTCTTGCAAAGAAAGCAACAAAAATAAAAGGCTTAAATTCAGCGTGTGCTCAGCGTTGCTTTACATTCTCAGCACTTCAAATGACGAGCTGGCAACTTCCCTCACTTTCATTTCCGCTCCATAAACATAACAACCCATCATTACAACTCATCAGTCATCTGTACCTTCAGCTGACTTTTATGTTGTCACAAATTGTGCATTTGTCTGTGTGAGAGAGCAGTCTCACAGCCTTTAGCTGTTACCTCGTAGGGCAGTGGGGCTTTGGAGCTGCTGTTTGGGTTTCAGTGAGGTGCGAGAAGGGGTCAAGTATTTCGGGAGCTGAGGTGCTGCTGGAAAACAGAAACATGTCAGCACTAGACTTCAATCTGTCACTGAATTCATGGAGAAAGAGGGGCTATTTTGGCACTGGAGGCCATTTGAGCCTGAGGTGCAGGTTGAGGACACTAGAGGGCTCTCCAAGCACACACGCTGAGATAGTGAAGGAGGAGCACGACTATCAGAGCAAAGTGCCCTCTGCCTCTGACAGGTTTAACAACCAATCCCAGCACAGACAGAGAAAAGGAGTGTATGGTTTACACATGCTTTACAGGGAAGAGAAGCCAGTGATAGAGGCAGCAGAGGTGCCCATGTCCAGTACAGCCAAAGCTCAGAAAAACACAAACCAGTCACCACAGATAAATGTATAAAGACTGAGGTAAAAACTGAATAGCTGCTCTGTATGTATGCATAGGGAGCACACAAATACACCATCCTTCCACACTAGGAGCTGGTTAAGGCAAGAAAGAGGCAGCTACCACATGATTAACCCGCTGAAACTTCCTCTTTGACCCCTCCATCTGCCTCTAGTAACAGAGGAGAGATTACAGCTTCTGGATTAAGGACTAAACCATTACCTTTATCTCCCATTACAGGATTATATCAAATGGATAGTCTTAACTCGCAGAGGAAGATTTCTAAGCTCTTAAAAGAGAACATAAAACCATTGGACATGAAATGTAAAACAATGTTTGTGTCACAGATCCCCCAAGTCGCTCTGGATTGTCAGTGTTTCTGGCATCATGCTTTTATTCTGCAGGATGAGTGCTTTTCTTTGAAGTGAAAGTTATGCCAAGACAATAAGAGGAAGGAGGTGTGTGTGTGTGTGTGTGTTTGTGTGTGTTAAACATATTACAAGGAAAAAAGATCAAAGACAAAAGAGGATCCCCAAACACCAAAGCCATGTCACTACAAAGCAGTGCAGTCCCTACACCAAAGGTGCAGCCAGAAGGATTAACGCTCACACAAAAGCTAACATGAGATTACACAGCCTGCCATGTCGCTGCGCTTGGAGAGCAAAACAAATATCGATCTAACAAAAAGTTACTTCAGTAATGAATCTGACAGTCTAAAGCTTCAAGTTAATAAATATTTCACATTCAAACTAAAAGGCTTAAAAAGTGATGCTCTCCGTGGCTGTTACAGTACTCACTGGCAGATTGGCTCTGGTGTCGGGGGGAGCCGCCGTTTGGCACTTGCAGGTTGGACTCACAGCTGCGACTGTTCTTCACGGGCTCTGGGGCCTGAACTGCCGCCGCCACCGAGGAGCGTGTAAGATTAGGAAGACTTCGGCGCAGTTTTTCTACAACAGTAGCACAGGCCAGAATCAAAGTCAGCGTCAACTCAAATCACTGTTTCCCACAGATAAACTTTTACTCGCCGGCGTACTCCTACATGTATTAGTTTAAGCATATTTGGTAACATACTTATCCATGTGATTAAGTTATGGACAATCACCCTTACCCTTTCTGTCTCTTGTTATTTTTTCCCATAGACTGTATATAAAATAATGGATGCTGGTATTTTGGTGTGTTGAAACCAGGGGTAACGAGTAAAACATGGATCCCAAATGCCAAACTCATTGATATGCTGACTGGCTAACAACTGTTACAGACAAGTAGTCAGTGAAAACCCTTGAAACAAGCTACTGAGACAATAGTGTTTAATTTTTACAGAGCAAGTAGGCCGCGGGTCAGCTAAAAGGAACCCATGTTTTGGGCACCTCTGAGTTTGCCTCATTTTTTTAGCTACATTTGGGTCTGAAAAGTCAGTCTTTATTTGGCTGGCTTGTTGGCCAAGTCGCTGCTGTGGCGGTCTTTGATAAACAGCTGTTTGAATTTTTTGTCCAGTGTTCACTGACTGGTGCCTCTGGTGACAGCAGTCGTTCTAAACCTCCATCTCACTGAGATCACAAAGTAAGGACAACCATCCCCAGCTTCCTTGCTGCTCTCTGACTTTAAACTCCATCTGATAATACATCTGAAAATAAACACATTACTTGTGATGAAAATAAGACCTAATGTGGGAAACACTGGAGTAACTGAAACATGCAACTTGTTCATGTCCACTGCTTACCTTCATTTTTCACCACATTAGTCTGAAGGTCATGCCCGTGGCTCTGCAGCGAGTGACGAGGCTGCTGCAGGCGGCTGATGATGGGCTGAGGAGAACCCCGGCTGTGGCTATAGTCGATGGAACGAGCAGGCGAGCGAGAGCGGGGAGAGTTTCTCGGGGATGCACGGGGAGAGTGGCGAGGGGAGGGGCTGAAACGGTTGGAGGGCAGGTGAAAGGCCGGGTGCACCGCCTCCTCGTCGTCCTCCAGACTATGAGCATCTAGCTCCTGGTCACTGAAGGTGCTGCGCCGCAGTGAGTGGCAGGATGAACCCGAGCTCCGTCTGGATGCTGTTGCAGCATATTCCTGTCTCAAGCCTGTTGGCAAAAAAAGTATGGTGTAAAAAAAAATGTAATTGCAAAAAATTGAAGAATAAAGCTGTGGATGACGGATACATACTCTCTTCCTGCATGCGTGCCAATATCTGGACATCAGTGACATCATTGAGTTTATAGGTCGTTGAGGATCCCACTGAGTCCTCATCCATTTCTGACGTGCTCAGCTCGCTGTCCACCGATGACTGCGGACTAACTGCAGGAGGATTCCTCTCTGCTGCAGAGTTTCTCTGATGAACTGGTGCAGAAATCATATGTGAATGTTTTAGAGATAAACTAAACAGAAATCCTGAAACAGACAGTGAACTATAGAGAGACCCATACTTGCGTTACTGGGCATTAGTTGCTGTCGCACGATGGGCACTCTGCTTGGGGTTGAGGAGGGGGAGTTGAAGCCACTGCTGTAAGGGCTGTTGGCTGCATTTGTGCTATAAGGACTTCCATAACTCTGCTGGTTGTACGGACTTCCATACAAGCTCCGGCGCTTGTTGGCTGTAGAGGCAAAAAGCAGAACTACAATGTCAGACAGCATCACATGAGAGACTCAGAAAGACTTGTCAATAAAGTTTTCATGTTGCAAAATCCATGCTGTCTACATGTGGTGGAGTTGTTAAGCAGTTTCACGTCCTCTCATTCACTATTCTATGAAACTTTCAAGTGGGAAAGTAGAGGTGTTAAATCAAAATACAGAATTATATCATATATTACATTTACTTGCAATTAATTATTTTGTCATCAGTTCCTTTATTTTCATTTTGACATTTTATTATATTATCTATACAAGTCAGCAAATAAATGTTTTAGATACTTTGCACTAAACTATTTAGTTTTGTTGTTTTTATTGTTTTAAAAGTTGACCACTAAGAAAATGTGACAGAGAAATACAGCAAACGCACCAAACTAATAGACTTTCACTATATTAGGTACTTGTCCTGGACAACTAATAGTATTAATATGTGTGTCCTGAGCAATTTCATCCCTCTATTGATGTGATATGATTTCTTATTTTTAACATATTTTACCACTATTTCTTCTGGTAAGTATACTACATTAATAGGTGAAAAAGAAAGACTGTTCTCAATGAATGATCCATAATATTCTCTTCACTGGGACCAGTTAGTCAAGTCTAGTCAAGTCAAGTTGGCTTTATTGTCACTTCAACCATATACAGTTAGTACACAGTGAAGCGAAACAACGTTCCTCCAGGACCAAGGTGCTACATGCAACATAAATTTACAACATAAATTAACAGAAAACACTAAACTAGCTAACTAAGAGGCCTAGTTAGCTGGCTAGCAGAGACAAGACAGACTGACCTAACATAAATTATAACATAAATTAACAAAAACTAACTAACTATCTAAGGAAGACTTTTTTTTTATTTGTTAACAGACAGCAGACAACAAAGTGCACGTGCAAATGTGCAAACAAGAGCAACAAAGTGACAGTGTGACAAAAAAACACAACGTAAAATAATAATAAGGTTTTGTGATGATGAGTTGAGGTAGTGGAGGAACAGTAAACATTCCTTAGTGTAGCAGCAAAAATTAGGAAGTAAAGAAGTTAGTGCAAAAAGTCCAGTGTTTGTGTTGATTAGTCAGTCCAGTCTCAATGTTTTGAGGTAGTTGAGTCAGCCTCTGTTCTTCAGTAATGGTTCTGTCATTCAAAGGATATCATAAAATCTGCACTTCATCCTACAATACCTGTCAACCAAACACGGTCATGGCCAACATCAGCCTTGTTGACTGCTTTTGAACCTTTCAACAAATGAGGAGGCGACCACCAGGTCAGTGGCAAATGCCTTTCTGTTGTGCAATATAAAGTTTGTGTTGGCTGAATGTTCAAAGATGAAGAATTGCTGAAAGACTATAATAAAAAATATTTGTTTTTTTATGCTAAAGAGAGAATAAAAAACAACAAAACAAAAAATATTCATCACCATCGATCACATAAACATCCCCGCATACCTGCTGAAGGGGGATTTTTGTTTCCTCAACTTCATAAATTACCTGCGTATAAAAACAAACTTGCAGCTATCAATCTTATAGTTTCTACCAAAAATCACAACTTTTAGAGAAATGAAAGTTTAGAGAAAGTCTAAAATCCAACTCATAGAAATTTGGGATCAAAACTTGTCGTTCATTGTTTAATCTGCTCATTCACCATCTATACGCTGTAACCCCTTAAAAGCCCTGACGAAGCTTGTTGGCCTTCTGAGCATTTGACTATGAACATCAGGAGTGTCTGCTCGGAGCCAGCACATCTATGCCTGCACATTGCAGAGCTTTCAATCTGATTGAGTCTCTTATAATGTATGCTGAGTGTGGGCCTGATGGAGACTTCCTACATCATTAGCTGGGACAAACGCTTAACAATGCAAACCATTCAGTCCATATACGCACAGAGCACAATACAATTCTCTGTTAAACTCAGCAAAGCAGCGGTCACAGGCTACAGTCCAAAGTCGCTGGTCTGAATTATGATATCAGACTCTGGACACTCTGTCACAGTGATACTCTGATTGGTTTAGATGGTTAACATCGCTCGAGTTTGTTCATTTACCCATCATCACTCTGTTTTAATCTCTCTTACTGGATGTGTTTACATTGCTTGGTGGTGAGGCAGCCTTTTAAGATCAACTCTCTGCTCTTTCCACATCGCTCCTTTCACTTTCTCCTGTTCCACCTCGTGCTCTGCACTCTGTCCTCCTGCATTATTTAGAAAACGCCATCATGTCTCCTCTGCTGCGATCCACATGGATCAGATCCTGTGGAATGCCAACAACGTTGGAACGTGTTTAGTCAGAAATGCTGCACTCACTTAGCCAAAAGACACTTTGTTTTCCAGAAAAGAACAATGAGGTCAACAGATTTAAAGAGTTCACCTGGTGAAGTGGTAAATGAAAGAGTAAATACTAATCTGCATGTTCTGTAAAGCTCCACTGTGTTTACATCACAAGAAAGTTGATATAACAGCATATTTCTGTGACTGCATACAGTAAAATCATAAACAGTGGTTACTGGATCCAGAACAGTGCTGCAAGTGTTTGTTTTGGATTTTTTAAAATATATTTTTAAATATATATAACATTGTTTTGTTTTCAGCTCAAATTCAGTTTCCAGAATGGTTCTGCTCCTATATCTAACCTATATTTAAATTTGATTTTGTTTTGAAAATACTTTTAGTGTTACTTTTAGTATTTTTTTAGAATTTAAATATGGATACATATTTGAAAAAGACAAAATTCAAGAGGTTCACTATACCACACTTGATATTGATATACCTTTATTAGTCCCACAAGGGGAAATTTATTTGACCATGAGTGTGACATCGTATCTCAGATGAGGTCTCGTTCTGTCCTTCACAGAGCTTCAGATCTCTGTTTTAGAAGCTGAATGTTTAGCCTATAAACGGTCTTTTATTTTGAAAATAAAAGACTAAATTTTCTGTACCAATCCTGTATCCGACTTCCTGTGCTCCTCTTCTGCGCTGTGCAACTTGATGTGGCTTCCGTTAAAAATAGACCAGGCTACATCTACATTTCGAGCTTTTGAAATGCACTGTGGGTCATTTGGCAGAACTGCAAACACTGTCCTGAGTGGGTGCAAATAGTTCTGATGGCTATGTTGGAGCTGGTGTATTTTCAAGGTAACGGTTACACAGACATCCCAATTTCAGTAAACATCAAAGCCTCCTCAAACTGTTTCTGCTGGCAAATTTGATTAAATTTAAGAATTAAAACTAAGTACACCATATAGTTCTAATTACTTTCTGTGTAATTTTTATTTTTATTAATGTTTTTTCATATCGACTTTTAGTTTCTGTAAGTATCATAACTTGATTTTAGAAGGATATCAGGATCCACAGTCTGTTATTTTACAATATGCTTGAAATGTCCAATTTCTATCTCATAATGGGAAAGAAGTCATTCTTTCAATATCACTTCTAAGTCAGGCTAAGCCCCACACCTGGTAAACTTTTCATTTAAGTTGATCATCAACTTTTAAAAATAATTCCGGCTGTTTGTGTACAACACAGCAGAAGAGCTTGGCATACTTTAGTCTGTATTGGGTCTAAGCTAAAATCACAATGGTGCTACAGCTCAAAGGGCCAATTCAGGTTTCAGAGGATTTAGATGTGGTTAGGTGACCTGGCCTATCACAGCAACCCTAGCAACACACTTTCAGTAGAATGAGACCAATCTGATGGAATCAGTAGCACAGGGACCAATAAAAATAGAGTGTCCTTGACACCCTCGTGTACTGAAACAAGTCAGTAGAAAGAGAAGGAAATGTTCTTTCTGCCCACTGTGACTGATGTCATTTCCATTTACTGTGATATGAAATTGTGCTGCGCCAGTCTGTGGAAACTTCAGGCCAGTTTCCACAGGCAAAAATAAAACTAAATGAGGCGGCACACAACAGACTGCTTATGGCCTTAAAGGGGGAGGGAAAGAGAAGACCAACCTTTCATTGAGGCCATTTGATACAAAAATAAAATAAAAGAATGAATGGGTTAAAGCAGCAGCACGGAGCTGTAAGCACATCCAAGAGACAAGCAAATAGAAAAACTATTGTATGCTAGAGATAAATACACCAGAGAAGAAAGGGGATAAAACTGGCAGAGACATGCAAGGAGGTGCAACAACTGTGCAAAAGTCAGAGCTGAAAACAGGGCAGGTCAGCCATGTGACTGTGGTTGGGACCTCTTGGGTCTTTTACGTACTCTGTGGAACAGCTGTCAAAGCAGTGCAAAGGAAATGAGCTTTGTATAATTGTACAGCACTAATAACAAAGTGATTCCACTGCATATCTGAACTGTCTGGTATGAATAAAGTTGTGCTGTCTGACTAGTATAGTCAACTCAAGGAGATGTCTCCCAGGAGTTTCCTCCCTGTTGTTAGTTATATAACTGAGACACGTCATCTGTGGAGAAGATTTTAACAGGGTGTGCGCATACAAAAGGCTTGGGTCACTCCTCACACAGAAGGTCATGTTTAAAATATCTGAATATGCACTTATTCCAGAAGATGGCACAATGCTTAGACAGATGTGAAATCTTCACACACTTTTGGTAACAATCTGCCGCAAGTGAAGAGTTTATTTGGCGATTCCATAGCAACAGCATTTCCATGCTCCTGCTAGAGTTCGGGTATGAAAAATAATTCAGCCCGGAGCTATAAAGCCCTGTCTGGTGACTCTCACAGACACAAATGCTTTCAGAATGTAGCGCTTAAAGCCAAATTCATGGTCCTGTGTTTGCGTAGCTCTGTGGCTATGCAGAGAGAAGGATTATGGGAGTTTAACCAAAGACTCCAGTGCAGTCTTCCCAAAAAGACAGATGCTGACTGCAACCAACAGCTGCATTAGACGTTTTAATGGTATTATTTAACTCTCACTTTGACTTCGCTGTGAAGAATTTTTCGATTACAACAATCTAAATCAAATTTGAACATATCCATGTTGTAAAGCTGAGCAAATTTGCCATCATAAACTTCGTTTTTTGAAAACTAAGATCGCAGTTTAGAAAATGACCATTGCATTGCATTCAATAAAACCAGCAACTAGAGACTGAGCCAATAAACTAATCAGGAAAGTGTTCACTGAGCGGATAAGCAGTTTCCCCTCAGATGATATACAACCTGACTTCCTAATTCATCAAGTTATTTAAGTTTTCGCAGAAGTAAAAAGATGAGATGTAGAAAGTAAATGCATGTACACTGACTGCTTGATGCTGATCCTCGCTTTAATAGAGAGTCTGGGTCAGACACTGAGATACTATGTAACCATATAAGTCTTCTTTGAAAAATTTCTAAATATTTTATTAAAAATCACAATGTTGGTGTTTAATTCATTAGATCTGAATGTCTTAACCACTTTACTCAGTGAATCATAAGCCTCCCCAGAGTGCACTTTCACTTTCCACCAGTGCCATCTGAGGAATGAATGAGGTGGGGCAGATGCTATTAGCGACAAGGGGGGTATTTTTAGGATGACGTTATCGTGCCACACCTACATCGATGATATCACCACAAGTAAGCACCACTCCCTAAATCAGTGTTTCTCAAACTGTGGGTCAGACTCCAGTAGTGGAACAATGGGGGCGGACAAATGGACAGTAAGATAACAAACTTCCATATTAAGGTTTCATGAATTTAACAGATTGTGTGAATTTAATGACTTAAATACAAAAGTGAGGTCAATTCTCTCCTAACGTACTGCAATAAATCACTGTGCTCCCAAAGATGAGTTTTTAGGAGTATAAGAAGATTCCACAATTGAGCCATTCAGTGAGTATTATTAAGAGAAATGTTAGCAGAATTGGCCATAATTAGCAACTAGTTTGGTAAGGCAAGAGATTTCTCAAGGGAAGGTGAGGTAAGGCTAAGAGCAATGTTCAACAAAAGGTCACATAGTCCAGCCCATAGTAGCTGGTATAAACAGCCAATAAAGAGCAATAAGCTATATTATACAAGCCTCACTCTGATCTGATTTATCATTACTTAAGAAGACAGTCCAACACATAACTACTCCATGCAACAATATTCATATAAACAAGTTTCCCTATCCCCAGATGAGGGAAGAAATGTGTGACCAGGTGTTTCTTTCACAACAGCTGAAAGAATCCCACTGACCCCAGTGACAACCTTCACTGGACTGTTGCTCAACGTGATCCAACTATCACATGAGCATACCACAGTCAAAATGGAAATGACTCGCCTCTTAGTTTAACTTTCAGGAACGGAGCCCTGTTCTCCTCACTGAAAGGTTAAATATAATTAGTGAAATCAAAAACTCTACAGGCATAAGAAATTAGGTAACTCTGGGTGATATAATGTTGCTTTTTTCAGGTTCTTCTCACTATAAGAAGGGGCCTTTCGAGAGTGACTGCAAACGTCAGCACGATTGCTCCATGTATAGTTATGACAATAAGTCTATCTTTCCTTATTTTACGTACTCTCATACACAACTAAATGATTTAAACCCCAACATGAAAAAAATCTGACTTTATGTATGTAAACTGAGTGTGTCTGCAGTTCATTCATTGAATCCATACACTCAGGGACCAGAGACTGATAGGTCCGCTGGTTAGCTCAGGCCATTCAGTATGGAGTTTAGGTTTGTCGGTGCTGCTGTTTGAGAAGAAAGTGCTGCAAAAGCAGCAAAATAAGAATACAAAAAAAAAATCAAAAAAAAAAATCACAGATGTAAATATAAATAAGTAAGCAATTAGGCACTATCACGTGACACAAAATAATAAATATTTTGCAGGTCCCAGGGCACAACAGCTCCTCATACAATCTGCCAGCAAAATAGGCAGCAAATAATAACCCTGTTGTTTTTAAACAGAAAAAGAAGAAGAATTTTCACTCCGACCAAATGATATAAATCTAGATCATTTAGCAGTGTATGCTCGGCACTGTCACCCTTGCAACCAAAACCAAAAGTGAGGACACAACTGCTACTGTGCAGTACACTTTGGTGTTGTTTTGGTTAATCATGCACTTCTTTATTTTTGTAACCTCGTTGGAGACACAAGTGTGCAAGCAAGTTGGTCTTTACCAGCATTGCAGTGATTTATTATTACTATTTTCTGACTGAAAGGAAGATCCTTTGATAGTTGGAAATGAGATATTCTGCAGAAATCAAATCCATTTCAACTTCTTTGATTCCTATACAAGTGACAATATAGCAATTTTCTTTTCCTTAAGTTGTAATACCCATAGTTTAGGAGTACATATAAGAAATGACATACACATAAGGCACAGCCAGGTCATTATGCTCACTAGTGGACCAGGGCAGCTGAAGACTTCAACAGCCGAGCAGATATCCACATGAAAGGCAGACTCCTACTGGTGTAAATTTTGTCAAGAGACTGTGAATGCAAGGCTCCGTGTGGACCACAGTGTGCCTTTATTCCAATCGAGGCACTATACTACAATGCGCCAACTACATATACGCCCTTCTTGCAGACTCTGAGCAGTCTTGAAAAGAAAATATAAAAAGGACTACACAGCTGCAGTGTCCACAGCTGTCTGCATGCACATCCTCAAGTGCCAAAACCAGAGGGCATGTGGATGTCAACTACCCTACTATCAGAGCCTCGCGTTCACCCTTTAATAGCAAAACATATGGATCCAAACAGGCTGAAAGTATAACAGCCTCTTAACTAGGGATGGGAATTGATAAGAATTTAATGATTCCGATTTCGTTATCGATATCACATCGATTTTACTCCTTATTGTTTCTGTTTGAGTTTTCATTAACGGCTTTGAGAGTCACCGCCATCGCTAAGCAGTACATCAAAGACATTACATTCATGCAAATTAATTGCATGCTGTGTGGTCAAATGTTTCTGAATGTTGGATGCATTTCCCCTCTTTGATGTGATCAGTGTTGGGGTCATTACACAAACAAAAGTAATATATTACAAATGTTACACAGAACACTTTTCTTAAATATCCATACGAACCTTGTGGAGCACAGACTGAGTTACTACCTTCCTCTTCCAACACATGAACTGAAATCAGCTAATTGTAGCACAAGTGTAAGTGAAACCAATAAGCGGCATCAATAAACAGGCATAGTAACAATTCCAAGGAACTGAACTACCGGGAACTGGTTCTCTACAAGAACCGGTTCTTGATTCCCATCCCTATTTTAACATAAATCAGCAACCCAAAAAACAGATGCAAGCACTAGCAGGAGAGCTGGTTCAGTGATTTTGGTTCTCTTCAGCTCAAATGCATCATGTTTGTTCGAAGGCCAGCCAGACAATTGTGAACACAAATGAACATATCTCAATACAGACACTAATAGAGAAGCCCAATGATCCAGATAACATAGTTTGGTACACATGTTATTTGTTTCTGACCTCTAACATACCAAAAGAAAGATAAATTAAGTGCATCGATATTGTAATTACAGTTGAAACAATTACAACTATGCTCCTGTTTACCTGACATGGTGAGGTCCAGTCTGTGTATGAGGGAGCGCTTGGCTGATTCCATCTCGGGACTCGGATTGTCCAGAGCTTGGCGGCACCACACGATAGGACTCAAGGCTTTTTGCAGGGGACTGTTCAGCTTTGCCTCATATAACCTAAAAAAATATCAACAGCAAGTTATTTTTCTCCTCTAATAATGACCGACAGATCACTCCTATCACACCTCATATATGGTGTTAGTCAACATCTTGAAGAGGAAATGTGATTGAGAGTAACAAGCTGCTAATCTGGACCTGGTTTTATTACAAAGTGCTGCCTTATGGTGGATGATGTGGAGAGGCAGGAAGGAATTCATGTTTTCTTAGTAAAAAGAAAAAAACATTTTTTTT